ATCGATGCACACACACACACACACACACACACACACACACACACACACACACACACACACACACAAACAATGACACAGAACTGTATTTTTAAACATGTTCTGTGCAATGAAGTAAAGGTTTAAGTGAGTATAGTTTGTGTCGTCCCACACACATGGACTAACGCACACTGAGAGACTGATATTCTATCAGCTGTGCAGGGTTTGTCAGAGCAAGCTGGGTGGGCAGTGACATGATTGACCTCATGGACAGAAGACCTGTGTTCTTCATGGGTAAATAAAAATCCACACTTTCTCTTTACCAGATAGTTAGTCCCTCAGGCATGAGAAGCTCTGTGTCATCATGAAACCTAACAGGCGTATCACATGCATTGTACGGTAGAACGACATTCATCTTCCACTGGTCTTTTAATTACTTTTCTTACTTTTCCTGGGTGCTTAGGTTTAATCATACCTGTGCAAATAAACCCTGTGACAATCAATGTACCATAAGGACCAATGGGAAAGACAATCAGTGTCTATCTATCAATGTCCAAAAGACGTTTGATTGCTGCTAAGCAACTAGTCCATTAAGAGATAAAAGACAGAGTTAACAGGAAAGTACATGTAATGAGATCACAGGTTAACGCCTGTACAATATCTAGCGCAAGAAGTATATGACATCTCAAGTAGCTGGAATTTAATCAAGGTTGTGTTTTTCATGCATTTCATGCATCCATGTGCCATGGATAGCAGTTAGATGAAATGGAGAGCAAGTTAAGAATTTTTACTTTAGTCTGATGTTTATCCCTAACAAAAACAAAACAAAACAGCAAAGCAAAAAAAAAAAAAAAAAACACAAAGCAAAGAAAAAAAAAGCAAAAACTTAACATCGATCTACAGTTCAACAAAGCAAAGTAAAACAAAGCAAAAACTTAGCATCGATCTACAGTTCAGAAGAGATCTTACCTATTTTTTTTTTATTAATTTTATGTCTAAAACATCTAAAACATAATTCATAACTCAGCTACATCTCCTAAATAATTAAAAAGCAACCTCCGGGCAATAAAATTTGGAAGATTTCATCTTAACTCATCGGTTCAAAACACAGCAATGCTGGCAAGTGTTGGCAATAACACAAGCCTGTTTGTGACCAATGAGAATCACTGGTCAACCATCTGAAACCAGCTGTTTCTGAGGTCTCCCCTCTCAATCTCACTGCCACAAAGAAGGAAGAAAAAGAGGCCCCATTAAAGGGCTGCAGGTTATTCGGGAAAGCCATCTTTGGTTTCCACCTGCATAAAGGACGGAGGGCATTCACCTGGCCAGATGCTAACTGCTCCACTAGTCCACTGACTAATTCATACGTTCATAAAGGTGACATGAGAACTCAAAGAGCCTTTAGGCATCATTACACTACACAATACTTTATGAAATGGCAATCAAATGATACCCCAATTTGTTTGAGAAGGCAGTGCGGGCCAATGTAACCATGCTAACACACACGCTATCTGCAACATATGAGTCACAAGTGCACAAAACGAGCCATGCGAGAATAAAGGGTGCTAAAATTAAAAGCGGAGTGTGATCGTGAAATATTAAATGGCGTCAAAGATCAGCCAGGGTCTGCACAACAGCCTGCTAATGCACCGACATGAAATCAATTAGCAATATGGTGTTATTTAAATAAGCACAAAGAATGGCACAGTCGTTGGGGTGACAGTCCAAGTCATCCAGGTGGATGGAGTTACCAATTAACCGCGGGGTGAAGATTAGCAGCAAAGGGAGGTGAATATTGGGATCTATCCAGCTTATTAAAACACAGCAGTGGTCAAAATGTATCAGAAAGGAGGTGGAGTGGTTGTGTCGGCTCCTGCAGGATGGACTCGCTGAACTATTGTGACTCCATAACCAAAAAAACATCTGAGATCAGATTCAGTCAGATTAAAAGAAGAAGAGATTTATGTGTGAGGCTTTTGTAAATATATTTTCTATTCTGAAAAAAAATGCTTCCTATTATTCAGTGTTTGACAAAAGACATGATTATAAATATCATTTGAACTCTTTAAAGGTAATAAAAAATAGACCAAAGAAAAAAAACTGTTTAAAAACCAGGAAACAGGAGAAGAAAAAAAAACTGGAAAAATGATAAAATTAAGTAAAAATATTCAGGAAAGAAATAAACATAAATAAAAACAAATAATAATACAGAAATCAATACAAATAAATGCAGATATAAAATAAAATAAATAAAATAACGAAAAGTTCTTTGAAGTATAATAAAATTGCATTTTGATGCCATGGTCTGAAAATAATTATATGCGGGTAATGCTAGCACCTTTGATTAACTATGTTTAAAATACTACAAAATGCAGTGGCTTTGTCATTTTAAAGCACAGTGTGCAATTTCTGTGCCTTTATTTCCCAATGACTCCTCTCATCTTTTATTATTCCCACAAACAGATACTTTCACCCAAAACTCACCTCATACGTGTTGTGGCAAAATTGCATTTTTGCCTTGCTCAAAAAAACAAAACAGTGTTTTGGTGCAGAAACACATGCACAACCACACGGCTCTAAATGTTTTTGCGTTTTGACAGAGCAGGAAAAACCCTAGAGAGAACAGGGTAAACCTCTTAATGAATAAAACTTTACTCTATCCAACAGGTAAACAGAGGAAGAGAGAGAAAAACAAGGCAGAGAAAATGAAAGAGAAAGATGAGATTAGGTACTTCGGTGCCAAGTCGGTACTAAAAAAATGAAAACGTTACGGTACCAGTTTTTTTTTTTTTTAAGTACCGGTGGTACCAAGTAC